TCCTACCAGCTCCGCTGGATTCGCTGCGAGCGAAAAGTGTTTGTAGGGGCAGAGGTGGCTGAAGGGTAAGCGAAGAAGAGCGAGAGGGAGGGTTGTAGGAGTGGGATCTGGGACGATCTCGAGGGAGAAGGGGAATGTGGGTTTGGAAGCCCGTCGGCACTGGGAGAAATTAAACTAGTTACAGAAAAGAGCACGCCGGAAAAGGGCATGCGGACGCGGCGACATCTTCGAAAGTATGTCCGACGTGGCGTCTAACGTTCGACCTGGTAGCACTACAATTTTTGGAGTTCTCGCCGTTGGGCACCCGCCTGAACTAGAGGTCGGTGCCGACGCGAGCGAGTTGTTAGGCCACTCGTACGCTCGGTCCAAACTGGGCTCGCCCAGCATCGAGCAACATGCCCCGAGCCATGTCGAGAAGGGCACGACAACCACGAGGGCTCGAGCCAGGTCTGCCTGGAGGCGTCTGGAGGCGGCGAGGAGCCTTATAAGAAGCAAAGTGGCGGCAGCACCTCAATGGAAAAACAGCAGATGAGGATCGGGCCGAACGAAAGGGGGGGATAGGGAAAGGGGGGGGTACGAAATCTGCTGCATGCAGCTGGTTTCGGCCCCACAGAGGGGCCCATTCCTCGATACATGGCCGCCTCCGGCGCGGGGAGGCGCCGGGAAAATAAGCTACGTGAGCTGATTCTCACCCCCCCCTTTGCTATCCCCCCCTTTCGCCCGGCCCGAGAGGAGGAGGAGGAGGAGGAGGAGGAGGAGGAGGAGGAGGATAAGGAGGTGGAGGAGGAGGAGGAGGCGGAAGCGGAGGCGGATGAAGAGGAGGAGGGAGATGGGGGAGGGGGAGGGGGAGGGGCAAGCTGTGTGCTCTCGCGTCATATCTGACATCCTACCCCTACCTCGCATCCCTTACCATGGCGTAGATTTTTCTATTCGCACAATCGGATGTCGCAACATGGCACAGCATTCCATAGCATGGCATGCTGTTGAACATCAACGCGTATCATACCATAACATGGCGTAAGGATTTCAAGATCGAGTGACACGACAACATATAAAACGTGGTTTCGCAGCACAGACGTTCAAAAGTTTGCGCTCGCGCTCTTGCATATCATTCAGACGCCATAGGTTTACCAACATATTCATAACATGCTACCAAACAGGCCTCTCGCGCGCACGTGTCGAAATCGTTCGAACGCGATTGCACGCGTGCTGTCATTAGAACCCTCGTGCGAAACAATCGTCGAAATGCACGCGCGCGTCGTTGCGCGCGCATGCCGAAATCATTCAACAACCGTTGGTTTCGTAGGGAGTTCGAAAACGACTGTCCCGAACACATATACAAAACACAGTGTGTTGCAACATCAGCCTTCAAAAAACAATGCGCGCGCTCTTGCGAGTTCTGAAGGAAAACAATCGGTTTTGGCCCCTCGCGCCGCATGTCGAACTTATCCGAACGTCCTTGCGCGCGTGCTTGGGGGGCACGACCCGTGCCCAATAATACCACGCAGGCCAGTCGCGCGTGTCGGCCGCGCGCGAATGTTCAACTCCGGTCAAAACCTTCATCACCGACGCGAGGACATCGTCATCGCTATCGGCGGGTGTGATCAACATCGGCGCCGTCATTGGCCTTGCCGTCGTCATCGCCACCATCGTCACCATCATCGCTACTCTGATCACCGCGTCTACCGTTGTCGGCGTCGCCATGACACCGCGCCCGCACAAATTACCGACTCGCATTGACGGGCCCGCTTGGAAGTGCCTGGCGGTCAGCGCCACCGTGGCAGCGTCGGTCGCGCCGCAGTAGCTGGCCGTTGCGCGCCCCAGCATGCGCGGGCTAGCGCGGCCGCAGAGACGCCAAGCACTCATCGCAATCGCCGATGCGTGGGTTTTGCAAACCAAGTTGCGGGTGGGTGGGTGTGGGTGATTGCGCGAGGAATGGAGTTGACAACTCACTGCGAGCTTTGGTGACTTGCACCACGTAGATTGCACCATATTGTTCACACTTGCTCGACGAGGTCGTTGGCCCCATATAAGTTGCACCACGTAGCCTGCACCAAACAGTACGCCGTTACAGAAGTTCGTCGCGTTTTATGGGGGCGTCAAGATGATGCAGGTTTCGTCCGTCACGTTCGCGCGAGCGGGCGGGCGAAGGCTGACCCCCGACCCGACCGCGCCAAACTGCCCCCTGTTCCCCCTTTCGAATCCTAGTGGGCTGGGTCAAGATCGGTCGGATCAAAGATCCGGGACTTCCAAGTCCAGGAGTTCTTCCAGTTGTATCATCGTATAGTACAGATTTAAGACAGGGCCTGTTTCAATTTTGGCATGACAACACATGGTTTTAGAATTCCGACCTGGAGGGGTCTTCCCCTGCCGACGCAAGCTGATGAACGTCCAATGTCTGACGAAACTGTTGTAACGCTGATGACGTTCACACCACATATATTCTAGACGCTTTGCCCAGGCGCACTGACCAGGCATTTGGAAAACACGCGCAATGGAACAACAAACTGGGCAGCCGTGGTACCACAAGAGGGGAAGTATGGAGGAGGAACCAGAGGAGGAGAGGGAGGAGGAGGTGGACGTGGTAGGGAGGAGGACGGAGGAAGGGGGAGGGAGGAAGGGGGAGAAGGCGGGTGAGGAAGAGGAGGCGGAGAAGGAGTAAACGTAGGAGGAGGGCGAGCGGGAAGGCCAGAGGTGTGTTGGATGTTACTCGGAGTTTCTTCGGATGTCTCGTAAGACTTTCTTGTGGGCACCCATGGGGGCCTCATGGCGGTCCCGGGGGCCTCTTGAAGCGTCTTGGGTGCCTCGTGGGAGGATCGTCGGGCCTCCGGGTGGTCTCTTGGGAATCTCTTAGGGACTTTTTGGAAGCATATTGGGGGCGTCTTGGGGGCCTCTTGGGGCCTCTTGGGGCCCTCGTCGGGCACTCTTGTGAGCCTCGGGGTCCATCTTGGGGTAGTGTTGGGGGAAATCGATCAAAGGAGGGGCCGTAGTATGTTTGCCCCCCTTTGGAAACCAAATTGTGGTCAAACCCAGGAGGGGGGGGGGGCGGGGTAGGTGTAAACCCCTCCGCGCAGGGGAAGAGGGAAGAGGAAACGCTCTAAACCACACGCCCTGGAGGGCTTGTGGGATTGCACTGCGTAGGTTTTACCACTTGGAGTGCATTGTGTAGCCTGCACCACATAGATCGCACCACATGGCTACCGCATGGAGTGCACTAGGTAGCTCACACCCCGTCGATCGCATCACATAGATTCTCCTTCCTAAAAACAGAATAGACTCTACCCCCCCCCCGGCGTTCGCCGCCCCCCTTTCGAGTATGTAAATCATTTATGTTTCTGACCACATGTTCATCCTAACTATGCATTTACACTTCCCGGAGGGGCCGGTATCGGTCCCCTTGAGGTTCCCTGGTAAAAAAAAACGATATGCGGGAATATCTTTTGTTCTAGCATAAGACTTGTTCGCGAATCCGTATCAAAAAAAATGACGAAGTGCACACGCGCGCGCGTCGTCGCGCGCGCATGCCGAAATCCTTCAAAAACCTTCGGTGTCAGAAGGATTTCGCAATCGAGTGTCCAAAAACATACAAAACACATGGTTTCGCAACACTGATTTGCTAAAAGGCTTACGCGCGAGCTCTTGCGAGATCTCAAGAAAACCATAGGTTTTTCAAGATTTTCACAACATGCTACCAAACGGGTTTCGCGCGCGCGCATGTCGAAATCTGTCGAACGCCCTTGCGCGAGTGACGTCGCGAGAATTCTCTGCAAAAAATTGGACGAAGTGCAGACGCGCGCGTCGTCGCGCGCGTATGCCGAAATCCTTCAAAACCCATCGGTTTCGGAAGGATTTCAAAATCGTGTGCCCAAAAAATCTACAAAAACACAAGGTTTCGCAACACGGATGTTCAACAAACGCGTGCGCGAGCGCTCTTGCGTCGTCGTCGTCGTCGTCGCCGTCCTCCCTCCTCCCGCGTCGTCGTCGTCGTCGTCGCCTACGTCGTCCTTTGTCTTTCCTCGTGTTCGTCGTCGTCGTCCTTTTTGGCGTCGTGGTCGGTTCCGTCGTCGTTGTCGCCGTGGTCGTCCTTCCTCCTCCTCCCTCGTCGTCGTCGTCGTCCGGCGTCGGCGTCTCGTCGTCGTCCCTCATATTTCGTCGCCGTCGTCGTCGTCGTCGTCGTCGTTGTCGTCGCCGTCTTCCCTCATCCCTCGTCGTTGTCGTCGTCGGCGTCGCCGTCCTTCCTCCTTCTTCGTCGTTCGCGTCGTCGCCGTCCTCCCTCCTGGCTCGTCGTTGTCGTCATTGTCGTCGTTGTCGCCGTCGTCGTCCTCCCTCCTCCCTCGTCGTCGTCTTCGTTGGCGACGTCGTCGTCGTCTTCGTCGTCGTCGTCGGCGTCGGCGTTGTCGTCGTCTTCGTCGTCGTCGACGTCGTCGTCGTCGTCGCCGCCGTCGTCGTCGTTGTCGTCGTCGTCGGCGTCGTTGACGTCGTCGTCGTTGTCGGTGTCGTCGTTGTCGTCGTCGTCGGCGTCGTCATCGTCGTCGTCGTTGCCGTCGTCGTCGTCGTCGTCGTCGGCGTCGTCGTCGTCGTCGGTGTCGTCGTCGTCGTCGTCGTCGTCGTCGTTGTCGGCGTCGAAGTCGTTGGAGACGTCGTCGGTGTCGTCGCCCAGCCTGGATGTGCCCAGCAGTCAGCGCCACCGCGGCCGCGTCGGTCGCGCCAAACTAGCTGGCCGCTGCGCGCGCGCGCTTGGGTTGGCGCGGCCGCAGAGATGGGCCAGCTAACTCCAAGCACTCATTGCAATCGTCACCACATGGGTTTTGCAAGCCAAGTTCCGGGTGGGTGGGTGGGTGGGATGTTTGCAAGGGCGTTGGATGTGTCGATTCGTTTGTTAATATCAATTGCACCACATAGCTTGCACCACATAGCTTGCACCACATAGCTTGCGCCACATAGCTTGGACCACATATCTTATACCACCGAGCTTGCCCCACGTAAATTGCATCACCTAGTATTATGTAAACCACTGTGTGGGTCGCATGCTGGCTAGCATATCTGCATATCAGCATCTGTATATGTATAGCAGCGCTGACTAGACGGGGAAAGGGAGCTTGCGCATGTGACCAGTTGGCTATTCATGGCCGTCTCAGACGAAGATGGCAATACATGGAAAGGTCGTGAACTTGCTGGATGCGCTGTTGTACAGTGGCCGCGCATCGCTGGTATATTCCAGCCTAGGTGAAGCTATGTGAATCTGCGCGCGTTTGCGTGTAAATGCCAATCCTAGAATCCCTCCATATGTCCTCTCTCTCTCTCTCTCCCTCGCTATCTCAGTCATGTTGTTTTGTTGTGTCTCTCTCTCTCTCCTTCTCTTTCTCGCTCTCTCCCTCCCTCTCTCTCTATCAAGCTTGTTCTCTTCTGTCTCAAGGAAGAGGAGGAGGAAGAGGAGGAGGAGGAGGAGGAGAAGGAGGCGGCCGAGGCGACGACGACGAAGGCGGCGGCGACAATGGTTGAGGCGGAGGCGGCCAGCGGCGGCGACGGCGGCCAGCGGCGCGCCGCCTCCTCGGTGGCGTTCGACGTGCGGGCGGCGGCCACGACGAAGACGGCGGCGGCGGCAAGGTCAGTTAGACTCGTGACAGGGGGCATGGCGATCAGGAATCCCCGACTTCCTGGGAGGAGGAGGACGACGACGACGACGAGGAGGAGGAGCACCTCGCTCTCTGTCCCATCTCTCTCTCCCTGCACCGCCCTGCCTTCTCGCCCCCTTCGCCCACGCCCCTCCGGTGCCATCGTGCATCGTGCCCACGTCGCCCCTCGCCCTCCACGCTCCTCCATCCTCCGCCTCCCCCTCCTCTTCCCTCCTCGTTCTCCTTCCCCCTCCTCTCCCTCCTCCTCCTCCCTCCATCCTCCCCCATCATACCCATCCTCCCTCCCTTTCGTCCTCCTCACCCCCTCCCCCCTCTTCCCCCCTCCTCCCCCCTCCTCGTCCCCCCTCCGTTCCCCCCTCCATTTGCGTATTTCATGGTCGGCGCGCGTGTGATGTCTCTGCTGATGGCGGGGGGGCCGCCGACAGTCGAGGGTGCGCCGAGGATGAGCGCGTCGTAGGCTCGTGGCTTGAGGGAGGACACGTCCCGAGGGATGATGTACAGCCAACGCTGCCACGAACATGAGAAATGTTTGCTCTCATCCTCCTCCGTGCCTCCGGCGCAGTCATGCTTCACGACATGAGGCCACGACGTGAGGCCCCGAATTCTCGACTCCATTCCTAAGGCAGTTGGTCCGTCGAGGGCCGTTTTTTTGATGACATATGGGGCCCGAACACGCTCTCTTCGGACTCGGGCCTTGCTCGCGAAACTTGACCCACTCCTCCTCCTGCCCGTCCTCCTCTTCCTCTTCCTCCTCATCCTCTTGATCCTTCTCGTTCAAAGGCGTCGTCGCCGCCGCTGTCGCCTCCACCGTCGTTGCCGTTGCCGTCGTCACCACGTGAGCGTTTTGTTCCTCCCCGGTGTAACGCTCGTTACCCGCCCCCCCCCCCCCAAGGTAACGTTCACGATCGCATTGAGCGGAGAGGCCTGGACTCCCCCAACGTGCTGGGGGGCGGACTGTGCTCACAGGCATGGCGTCGTGCTGATAGGCATGCGTTGGTGCTCATGAGCGTGCTGTGTCGCTCGCAGGCTCCTCACCTGTTGCGGCGTCGAGCTCACAGGCATGGCGTGGTGCCAACAGGCATGTTTCGGTGCTCACGTAACGTGTTGTGGCGCCTGCAGGCTATTGTGGTGCGGATAGGCCAGGCAGACTCACTGACAAGGCGCCCTGCTCGGAGGGCGGCGGGTCGGGGGACCGCTGTCGAGCGGCTTTCGGCTGGGCGGGCGCTACGGGCCCCCAGACTCGCAGAAACACGAGCCCACGGCGCCAGGACCGTTGAAATATGAGAGATGGAGGACAGGGGACGGAGGTGCAGGATGAGGAAGAGGAGGTGGAGGAGGAGGAGGAGGAGGAGGAGATGAATGACAAGTCCTGAAGGCCTCCGTGCTCTGGTGGCAAGCCCCGCAAGGAGGCCTCGCAAGCTACTAATGTGCTCGTTGGTACGTTTGGCGTTCTGCTGTGCACAGGCGTTGTGGTGCGCAAAGGCGTTGTGGCGTGCGTTGGCGCTGCGGTACGCATGGTTGCTTGGAATCCACTGCCCCTCTGTTATGAGGCCGTTGTATAGGAGAGGGAACAGAGGACAGAGTGTTTACACAGTTTTGAGGAATTAGTGAATTCAGTATGGGTCCGGCTTGAAGTGCCTCGAAGAAAGCGCGCGCACCCGAATCGCAGACATATGGCTATATGCGGACCCAGGACACTTTGCTTCCCGTCGTCGTCCTCGCCCTTGCTCCGTTCCCCTTCCTTTCCTCCCTCCCCCGGATGGTGTCGAAAGCGTCCGCGGCTCGGGCGGGGGAGAGCCCCTTCCCACCTCCCTCATTATTCCTCGTTCCTCTTTGCCTCCCTGCTCCACCATCCGTCGTCCTACCTCGCCCACCCTCCTTGTTCGAAAAGTGAAGTCCCTGGCGCCGCGTGCCCGCGTCAGCGGTAAATGCTTTTTCGAGATCCGAGCACAGCGGCGCAACCAAACAGAGGGGATTGCCAATGCGAGATTTCGGGGCGCACCCAAAATGCGGGCGGCACGGCCGCCGAACACAGTCGCATCGCTAACATGTAAATTATAGGTGCCTGCGGCGAGGTCCGCCCCCCTTGCCAGAGCAGTGATCTATATGGCGACGCGTGGAGCTTTGACTGTTAAGAGGTCCTTGACATGTGACATTTCTCGTGTTTTCGGATTGCTGCGCGGCATTCTTTGGGGTCCTTCGAGGCCTTTTGGGACGACTTCGGGCCGTTGGGGGCCGCTTCGGCGCCGCGTTGCGCCGCGGCCGCCCTGGGCCAGGGAAGCGTGTATTTGCGGCTCTCTCGGGGGCGCCCTGGGCCGGGGAAGTGTGTATTTGCATTCCCCCCCAGCTGGGCATGTCGACCTCGGTTCTGGGTTGGCAAAGTCGGGGCGCCCTCGAGGTGGCGAGCGTTCACCTTTTCGAAATACACAGATCAAGGTGTGATCTGTGTACACAGTTTGTGTCTTCAACTGTGTATTTTCGTGTGTGGGCCTGCTGTTTACACAGATCGTGGTGTGATCTGTGTACACAGATCTCGTTCCCATCTGTGTATTTGGAGTGTGCCCCTCGCGGGTGGTGTTGAATGGGCGGGAACTTTCGCGTTTCTCTTCCGGCTGGTCCAGGGGCGGCGTCGTGCGCGGTCGAAATACACAGTTCGTGTCTCCAACTGTGCATTTGTTGCGCGCCTCTCGCTGGAGTGGTCACTGGGCGGGAGTTTCCGCGGGTCTCCCGGCTGGTCCAGGAGGGGGCCGTGGTCTGGGCATGCAAAGGCGCGGGGGGGTGGGGATGGTGGGCTGTGGGAAGGAAGGGGTTCGATAGGAGGGGTGGCCGAGGGGCCAAGGATGAACGGGACTGGACGAGAGCGGAGGAAGAGAGCCCAGGAGGATTTGCATCATCGGCGTCAGCATCACGAGGGCGAGGGAGGTGGGGGAGGGCAGAAGTTGGGGGCATGATGTGCACTAGGGCGTAGAGGATGGGAGGAGGGCAGGCATGTGGACGATGGGGGAACGAATCCGGCGCAGGAGGACGACGAGGAACGACGTGAATTGACACATGGGGGGGGGGCAGTGTAGATGAAGGGCATGATGAGGACCGGGGCAATCGGAGGGGCATGAGGAGGGTGGGGCCGCAGCGAAGGGATATTTGGAAAAGGCGGGGGATGGGGCATGAGTTCGAGGCGGGCGCCAGCTAACGATTAGCTGAACAGTGTTTTGCGTGTCCGCGTACCCCCAGAGCACAGTGACTGGTTGCAGAACTTCATGATCTGGGTAATCGTGCGCTTCGTGCTTCCAGGCCAAAGGCTCGAGTCCGCGACGCCCGTTGGCGTCGCGATGATGCCGCCCCGATCTGCCAGACCGCATATGCACAGATACGCAAAATATGCGTTGCAGCGTTTGTTTCATGACCCTCTCTATATTAACAGACCCACGTTGGAACCCAAATGGTTGCTGTGGTGTACATAAGGCGCTGTGGTGTACACAAGCGCTCTGGTGCACGCAGGCAGCAAGGTGTACGCAGGCGCTGTTGCGCGCACGACTGCTGCAGTTTACACAGGCACAGTGGTGTACATAGGCGACGTGCTGCTGCGGTGCATGTTACCCTCACGCCCGAGGCCCCCCCGGGTAACGACCGTTACCTCGGAGGGAAAACGCTCACCACCGCCGTGCCCTCCGCAGCCGTGCCAGCTGATGTCCTTTCTTTCGCGAGGTCACCGCCTTTGTCGCTGCCGTGTGCCCCCTCCTCGCCAGCCGACGCCGCCGCCGTCGCCGTTCCGTCGACCTGCTCCTTCCGAACTTTCCAACTGGAGGTGCCGCGGCTACGCGGCCGCTGCTGCGTCCGCGGCGCTGGCCGCGGCCGCGCGGCAGATGGCCGCGCGGAAGTCGCGGAAGGTGCAGGTCGAGGGTTGTCGTTGTCTTCGTCGTTGTGTCTTGAGATTCGGCGTCCGATAGGACTGTGGTATCGTGCTCAAAACCGGACCAGGCCCATCGGCCCCATCTTTCAACGGGACGGGCACAGCCCGAGCCAGACCGACCTGAGCGGGACGGGGGTCCGAAGCCAAGCTAAAACGCTCAGCACGAAATAATTACGACGCGTAAGTTCGCAGGCGATTTGCTTCCTGTCGATTCCGACCTTCACACAACAAGTCAGGCCGCTCAACAAAAAATAATCTCGGGGATGCACCCCCATGGTGGCTGTTCGGGCGGATCCCTAGGGAGTATGGCCGCCCCCCATCGGATATCCCCGAGTTGGCCCCCAAACTGTTTCGTCCAGTCAATAATCCCACAAAGGGGAGGAAGTGGGGGAGGGAGGAGGGGGGGGAGGCGGATGATGAAGGAGCGTGGAGGGCGAGGGACGACGTGGGCACG